CATACCTAAAGAACTTACTGCCCTGAGCCATCTTGGGTCACCATCACCTTCTGGTATTCAAAGCTGGAAATTAGCACAAATGAGGCTACCTGAAGAATGAAAGGGGAACTATTAGTAGTTATATCCTGACCACAAGGGTAAACAGAGACTGTCCTGGAGAATAGCATAGATGATCTCTCTACTCATCTTTCGTGCCATGTCTACTCTTAGCTCTACTTTTTTCTGTAGCTATTCCATTAATACCATTATTCCTTTGACCCAAACAAGTGAAACTTGAATCTGAAACATCTAAGGTTTATAAATAATCCTTTAGGTCAGAAAAATCACTTATTTTTTACATATAATAATAATTTCCATTAACAATGTTACCTGTTCTCCAGCCTCTATTTGTGAAGAAGTTTTTGAAAACGTATATAAACTACTTTAGGAATATTTGGGTTATGTGTTAGGATAATTTTTGAATGTGAGAAAAACTCTTCCCACTTCCCCTCTATCCTATACCAACATGTTATGATGGTATGTAATGTTAACTGAGGAAAACTGCAAGTCTGGTAACACAGAAAGATTGATTTCATTAGTTTGTTTTCTGTGTGTTACAATATGTTGAAAATTGCATATGCCCAGTTAAATGGATTTACAGTATATATATATAGTTTCAGATAAACTACTAGCACAAAGTAGACAAGAGCCTTAATTAAAAAGAATTCTATTAAGGGGTACCTAGGTGGCTCAATCGATTGGATGTCCAACTTCGGCTCAGGTCATGATCTCGCAGTTCGTGGGTTCAAGCACTGTGTCAAGTTCTGTGCTGACCGCTGACCGCTTAGAGCCTGGAGCCTGCTTTGGATTCTGTCTCTCTCTCTCTGCTCCTCTCCTGCTCATATGCTCACTCTCTCTCTCTCTGTCTCTCTCTCTCTCTCTCAAAAATAAATATTAAAAAATTCTATTAAGAAATCAGATTAGAGATAATACTAATAAGGCAAACAAAAAAGTAGAGGGGATGACACATCATCCTAGTGTAAACATTTTTTCGGCTATAAAAATTAATTATAATATAAAATATTATAGGAAGTTAGCCAAAAAACATAAATTATTAAAAATATATTTGAACTATGGCCCTCTAATTTATTCTAAAATATCATTTCACCTTTATCTCATCCTTTAAAATTTTATGTTTATAATCCACATAATACCAGTAAATATAATTTATAAATCAACACTGAAAATATTAAAAGTGACTGGAAAAGACACAACTAAATAGAAGGCTATTCCATGTTCATTGGTTAGAAAACTTAATATTAAGAAGTCCATGCTACTCAAAGCAATATAAAGATTCAACACAATCCCTATCAAAATACCAAGGGCATTTTCACAGAAATAGAAAAAAACAATCCTAAAATTCTTATGGAACCATAAAAGAATCCCAAATAGTCAAAGCAATCTTGAGAAAGAAAATTCCTGATTTCAAATTTTATCGCAAAGCTATAGTAATCAAAACAGTGTGGTACTGGCATAAAAATAGACACCTATACCACCAGCTAACTTGCAGTAAGGGTGCCGGGGATACACAATGAGGAAACAATAGTCTCTTTAATAAATGTTGCTGGGAAAACTGGATTGCCACATGCAAAAGGATGAAATTGGACCCCTATCTTGTACCATACACAAAAGCCTACTCAAAAAAAGTTAAATAGATCTGGAACCATAAAAGTCTGCAAGAAAACATTGAGGCTAAGTTCCCTGACATGAGCTGTGGCAATGATTTTTGGTTATAACCACAAAACTCAGGGAAAAAAATGAAAAATAAACAAGTGGGACTACCTCAAACTAAAAAGTTTTTCCATAGCAAAAGAAACAACAAAATGAAAAGGCAACCACTATAGTGGGAGAAAATATTTGCAGATCATACATCTGAGAAGAGACACTGGAAATTCGCCAGTAGAGTAGGCTTTTACGTGCCTTTATATGGAATATGTCTTACAACTTAAATATGTACAATTTTTATTTTAAAATGTAAAATAAAACCTATAAAGAGCAATCTAGAATTGTCCATCATCCAAGAAATTTGACTTTAAATAACTGTACTAATACCCAAGTGAGTGTAACCTTGCCATCAGAATAAGCAGCCTGATCTAGAGCCTAATTTTTAACATTTCTTCCATTGTTAAGAATGGTGAACCACAATCTGCTTCAAGCTTGAGACTAAGAAAACCTTTATCACCAGAGTTACTAGCAACTACCAAAATACTCAAGCTGTAAATAATTAGCATGCACATATTAAAAAGAAAAAGGACAACATTTCACAAGGAGATACAATAATTCTAAGATATATATTTCATTTAGTCATAAAAGAACTATCACTTTTTTAAGGTGGGTACTGGCAGTTTATTTCCTTGGTTTTTCATTCCGCCTCAAAATATTAATGTTGTACCCTGGGAGATTAGAAATTTTGGATTTCCTTATTTGAGGCCCTCCCTTGAGGTCTATTACATGTATCTCTCTGTAGATATAGATCTAGTCCTAAAATCCTTCCACATCTGCCTGCCCTACCCTGCCCTACCCTGTCCTTCTTTCAGATCTCTATAGGTACAGATCTACCCAAAGCTTCTGTAGACAGAGTGCAAGTGTCTATTACACTGCCTGAACATAGTGGGCTATAATGTCTGAAACATGCCTGGCCAGGGTGGCCTCAGAACAAATGGGACTTTAGCTTTGTCTAGGGAGCCATGTGGAAGAATGGCTCCCTTAATAAAGTAGGAGGAAGACTGTGTCAGAGTGTTTGGAAGGTCTCTGTACCCTTGGGGACGGCACTTCTGTGTGTATTACACAGAGCTAGAAATGGGGCTGCAGCCACACTGGTGTCCACCACCAGCCACCCCAGAGGAATCTCAAGTCCAGGAGCCTGTACTGTCAATGGGTGGCCTGTGCCATACATATCTGTGAGCTTTCAGGGTCCCTGGCTTGGTTCCCTGGTGGAACTTTGCTGGATAGTGGGTTGTTGGTAGTTGCGTTTGAGGCTGAGGCCCCAGGGGCTTTGATCTACAAGGATATCCTCACCCAACTGTACAAACACCAGGCTGCCACAAAATGATCCTGTCACCCTCTCATCACCTTGACCTGAGAATTAGGAACCAGGATCCACCTGTCTACAAGACATTCTCCTGGCGCTCGTAGGGTGTTGCAGTCTTAGTGATGTTCAACCTCAGGCACTGCCTGGCAACTGCCTTCAACGGACGGACAAAAAAATCCACAAAATAAACACATCACAATGCAAATGACCATTTGGCCTGATCAGCTAAAATTGGGACTCAGCACTTGGACCATCTTGGGCGGTTTATGCTTTCCCAAAATGCTCTGCATTTAGGACCCCACCCCCGAAAGAAGGTCTAATGCACTCTGTGTCAAGTCCCTGTGCACACATGTTTCCTTATGCTGTAAGGTAGTTGTCAAACAATGCCAGCTGAAAACTGAAATCGAAAAGCCACCAACTGCCTGGGAAAGATCCCATGGTGTTTCCATTAGATGGTCCCTTTATTTATACAGATGATGTTTTCTTTAGCTAAAGCCAGTGGTTTTTCAGGAACCGAAACACATAAGCACTGACAAACACACAGTCACATACAAACACGCTCACACCTACCATTATTAAATGCTAATTGACTGTATTTAATTCCTGGCATAATTAGTCCCTTTACCAAACACTTTTGTTTAGATCCAGTTGTCTTCTTATAGTGCAAATAGTTCACTTTCAGAGCCCTGGGAGGCAAAAGGATATAGTAGGGGATTTTTGGTCTGTTTGTATTTTTTTGTATGTTGGATGGTTGGTTAGTTTTATAATTTGCTAGCACTTGGAGTTCACTAAAATCACTGACTGGTTGCGTTTTTCATCCAGTCTTCCTTTCAACCACTGATGTGACTTTAACCGTATAAGGAGGTTATATTTTTAAAATACCTTTTAATGAGATGTAAAATGGTACTTCCTGTTTCCGTTGTTTTCATTTACATGATTTTCTTTATGCACTCCCATGTTATCGGAATTGTCTTTTCCTTCTCCCATGTTCTTAACCAGTGCTTTCATTTTAGAGCTCACGTCTCTCTTGACGTACCCTGCAAAGAGCAGTCAAGAGCATGAAAACCCAGCTAGAGCCAATCAATACACAAAGTAATGGAATCTAACAAAGAACCAACTATTTTCTATAAGTGAAAGTAGGGAGGCCTCACCCACTCTCAGACTGGGAATAGAATCACGTCCACTGCACAAGTACCTGGTAGCATCTCGATTTAGCCCAGACGTTCCACATTCACGTCTCCCATGTATTTTCTTCAAGGTTGTTGCTACATTATCACTTACTTTTGAGTTTTCCTTTTTATATACCAGTTTCCTTAAGTAGGCCCACGCTTCAAAATTTATAAAAATTAAAGCTAAATTTCTTCAAAGGCCTACTGTTTTGTCTGCGCAGTTTATTCACTGCTGAAATGAGACATTTTTCTCATAGAATTTTGCTCAAATAACAATGAACTTCTTACGGTAAAAGATAAAAGGTTAAGTTAGTGACCAGAAGTTACAGAGAGCACTTGTGGAAATAAAACCTGAACAAGTTTAAACTTAGAAAATGCTCTCGTGAAAAAAAATTAAAAATCTGTGAGGATCAAAGGTAATCAAGTTATTAGATGGTGTAGATGAGAAACTGGGAGACCCGAAGTGATCAAATCACTTGCCCAAGAAAGTGACAGAACAAGGCTTGTCTCCTGACTCCATATCCCATACTCTGCTAATTTTACTGTTCCTGCCCTAAAAACCCTTAACTAGAAGAGACTTCTCATAGTTCTTATCATTGGCGGGGGCCGGGTGGCAGGGGGGGGAATGTCAGGAATACAACCTACCACTCAGTGGAATCAAGATACCCTCTGTTCATGGTACCAGTATTCATAATGCAGCTTCCTTTCTGAGCATTTGTCTGAATTCAGTGAGCGTTAAGATGTGTTCATACATCTTCTAGGTTTCCACAGACGTGCAGCCCCAGTTACAAGGAGGCAGTTCCCACATGGTGCACATAGAATGGATTATCTGCACTTTGAGGATGACAGCCGCGGATGGTGGTTTGACATGGATATGGTGATCATCTATATTTATTCAGTGAACTGGGTCATTGGATTCATTGTTTTTTGCTTTCTTTGCTATTTTTTCTTTCCATTTTAGGAATTTTCATACTTGACTACAGTTGAACAATCACAAATGATGTAGATAACAATTAAACATTTTTAAAATGAGATTTTATAATGTTGCATTGTATAAATTGTTGGTGTTTATAGAAAGTCTGACAACAATGGACTTATTTATTAATGTTTTTCATGTAACAAACTAAGGTTTATTCAGGAACTAGTCTGTCTAGCACTTAGCAGTGATGCACTATTGATTTCCTAGTTCTTCTTGGTTTAGGATTTATGGGCTCTAATTTTACAATACCAGTTTTATACTTAATTGTAAAGACTGAGGTTTCCCCTCCTTGTAAAAATACAAAACAAAATTATAATCTGGGTAGATAGTATCTTTATTGACAAAATATTTAGCCAATCACCACTTATTCTTAGGCAAATTATGTGCATTAAAGATAAGTTATATTTCCTGGGAACTAATCTAGCAGGGTATACTCAGTTTTGGTTTCCAGTTATCTCTGCTTATTTCCCGTTCTGTTATCAGGAAAGCTGGCTGTTTTTTTACATAGACCTAATAATAGCTAGCATTAGTACAACATGTTTTATTATTGTAAGAACAGAATAGTAAATGCAAAAAATCTGAGACTGATCCCCACCAATAGAAAGAGAAATATATTAACTCTCCGAATTGCAGGATTACTCATTTGAGGATATAAAAAATGTACCAATTTTCAGTAGTCTAAAAGAGCAGTGCATGTCCAAAATGTATCTAATTTAGTAATTTAACGCAGAGATTGTCAAATATACTGTAAATGTGCAATAAAGAGTGGCTTTTAAATTTTTTTTCATTGTTTAAGGTGATTTAATATCTGGAATAAGGAACTGTTGTTAATAGGCTTATGACATATACGAAGAAAACCTGGCATTTCTTTTTATTGTTACGGTATTGTACCGTAAGCCTTGGAATTAGTTTGTTTTTCCCTTAATTAAAAAAAAAAAAAAAAAAGAAATCTGAACTATCCCAGTATAGAAAACAATTAGGGCAAGCATCTCAGTTTCAAAAATGAGAAAACTAAAGCACAAAGAAATAAGCTTCCTTATTTCAGTCACTCACGTGGTCTTTGTGTAGCCTATGAGAACACAGGAACCATTCAGCCAGCATTCCTACGCTATGTCATCACATTTCTGATCATGCAATACGCATATTTTACACAAGGTAAGTGAACCTGTCATGGCACTTAAAAAATAATATAACCATCCAAACTGTGGCTGACAAGGCTTCGAGAGTTCAATCTAGGGAAAGTCCAAATTCGGCCTAATTACTACTGACTGTATTTGAGTAAAAACAGCTATCTGATGGTATGTGATGTTCTGGGAAATGGGATAGAATGATACAGTGAAAGAAAACAACAATGACATAAGACATTATCAAATTTAGAAAGCAGTAAACTACATACAGTTTAGAACCATCAATTTTTTGCTCATGTATTAAAATACGTAAGTTATGCTGTAGCCTAGTGACATATAACTAGTATCTTGGTAAAAGATGTCGTTGACAAAGCTCAGTATTACCTTACAGAAATAAAAATCGGTATTTATAATCACTAATGTATTGCTCAAAGTGAAGGCAAATTAACAAAACACCTATGAGGGGGGCAGTATTTTAGTATTAAAATAAATTCCAGCCATTTCCCAAGCAACTCCTGGCTTACCATCCCTAGCAAATAAGCCTTCATTTCTCCTAAACTTAAAAGTTGATTCTAATTATATCTGAAGCAAAGTAGGTAGTGTAAAAGATACAGATTTATCAGAGGAACAGATTTGATTCCCAATATGTATTTATTCATTCAGTGATAATAAGTCTATAGATCTGTATCTACAAACCAAATACAAATAAAAATAACACCCTTAAAAATAAATACCCTTAAAGAAAAAAGAAACCATAGTCTAGAGGAACACACTAAATGGACTGATTATATATGACTGTTATTAACTTGATCTGAGAATTACATCATTTGCCATATTAAAATTAAAAGTAAATTTAGAAAATTATAAATTGCTAATTTTACTTCAAGATATTTAAATTGTATGCAAATGGAGCTAAAAGCTGCCAAGTATTAAGTGCAGTGCTCCCTACAGCTACAGTTTATTCGAAGCCAGATAAAAGCTGAGATGAAAAGAAACCATTTTCTTTCAGTATCTATCACACAGTAGCCACCAATAGATTATTAATAAATTTATAAATAAATACACGTATGAGCTTTAGAGTGACAACAAATTTTATGTTCTTCTTGTTTGGTGTCTTTCACAGTATCAATCACACAGAAACTCATTTTCCAATAAAGAACAAAGGGAAAGAAGAAAAATCCTAAAACTAATCAAGTACAACATTTGCCCTAATTATTATTTAATAGGTTTAATTTTCTGAGTTATGTCTCTCAACAATTTCTATTTCTACTGAGCTCAATTACTGTGAAGGTTAATTTTCAATACTCTCACACATGCGTTTAAAAAAATGGCCAAACCTAAGTTACATTTTTTAATTCTTTCAGCAGGTAATTTATTGCTTGATTAAAAAAGAAAAATTCACACGCCAAGATCAGTTCATTTTATACTCATTAGAAGAGAGGGGAATCTAGACAAAATGTAAAAGGAACAGAATTTGTTATACAAAGACCCTATCACTTTGAATCACCAAATTCAAGACTAGGAAAAAAAAAAAAAAAACCTAGTATTTCTCAGTCTGCTATACTACTAATACCCACTCTAGTATTAAAAGCTAAATATAGCAACAAAGCCAGTATCACTTTCGTTTCTGCCTTAGAATCTTGCTTCCAAGATACCTGGAATGACATGACCAAAAAAAAAAGCCAATTAATGAAATTATCACTTGAATGTCCTCTGTATGTTTAAATGAAAACAGAGGTTTTTTAAAACTTAATTTTTATCTGGATCATTTGTTAAGGAATGCCTTAGAAAAGAGAATACTTTGATTACATGCAATGACAATTAGTCTTTGACTCTTCATAGAATTCTGCAGTTGAAGGCAGAGGACATTTTCATACAGCACAGTATTCCTAAGATTCTGAATATTTTATGCTCAACTTTCACTTTCTTGAAAAGTTTCTGATTTTCAGTAATTCTCAGTGTATGCACTAAGTTCTATCAGTGTATGCTTTTCTCCAGGATGCATTTATTTTCCTTTTTTTGTTGAAGACAACACCTATAGTAAGAATTGCTTTTATACATTTCAGTTTTTACATAGATCTTATGATGAACATCATTAAGAGGTACCTTTAGGCCATGGTATTAACATCCTATGAAAACAATATGTATCTATTTCAGTGTGCATTTATCTTACAGGGTCAGAAAAACAAATTCTTTCACATTCCCACTTTTGTTTAGGATCTCTCATATCATGCAATAGATATACTTTGAGAATTGTTGGTCTTATTTCAACACTTCTAAAATTAGTTTTTGGATCATTGTCACCAAGTTTATGGTTACTTCTCCTTGTATACATAACTGTAAATAAATTAAGTGCTGTTAAGACAGAGTCCTCTTAGTTTTTTTCTTCCTCTTTCACATTTTTATAAGTCTAAACCTCATCCAAAGAATATCTAGTAAGTACACAGACTGCTCAATAAAATGCATTTTTGTTATTGACAACATAGGAAGAGATGGTACTGCTCTTGAAAGAACCTGGAAAACATTTTAATTGCTCTACCTGCATCACCTTGTCTACCAACAAAACCATAAAGAGGAAAAGGCAAGTGAGAAAAGATAACATATATTTATGAAACCACTCTTAGATACTTGGCTGGTCACATTACCCTGTCTCCTCAATACTCTTTGAAAAGGATGATGTTAACCTTATATTATAGATGAGGATGAGAAGTAATGTGACCAAAGTCACACAAACTTAGAAGTGATTAATACTGCAAAAGGAGCACTGGGAATAAGAGATTATCTAAATCAAGAATGCAGGAATGAACTACCTGCTCCTTGTCTGTAACAATTTTCATTGCTTATACTAACGAAAAACTTGGTATCTGCAGGACACTATTCAATACACAGTACTATATTTGATAAGAGCTTTCATCCTGTGTGCCAACTTAGATTGATTTATGGTGCTTACCTTTACTTAGAAGGATTCTGAGGTTACATCTTGGCACCGTGAGGAAAAGAGTGCTCTGATCCACTGGCATTGTCCCTCAAATAGGGGGGAGGAAAGTGATGGGGAAGAATCGATCCAGGTCAGGTATTTGGATAAGGAGGTAGAAAGGCATTTAGGTTTTAGAAGCAGACCTTACCATTTGTTGAGGGAAAAAGAAAAATGAAACTAAGTAGCTATAATTAATAACATTATGATATATGCTGTTATATGAAATATAATAGTAAACTACAGTCCTTAACTTTTCATTTTGCCTTAAAACAGAATAGGTACCTAGCTGTGAATTACATAGATTTTTAAAACATAATGGTGTAGTCACAATGTGATTTAATTTTCTCATACAGAGAAATTTTAACCCATCATTAAAAAAAAAAAATTGGGGCGCCTGGGTGGCACAGTCGGTTAAGCGTCCGACTTCAGCCAGGTCACGATCTCGCGGTCCGTGAGTTCGAGCCCCGTGTCAGGCTCTGGGCTGATGGCTCAGAGCCTGGCGCCTGTTTCCGATTCTTTGTCTCCCTCTCTCTCTGCCCCTCCCCCGTTCATGCTCTGTCTCTCTCTGTCCCAAAAATAAAATAAATAAACGTTGAAAAAAAAAAAAATTAAAAAAAAAAAAATAGTATATAGAGGTTCCTGGGTGTCTCAGTCAGTTAAGCATCCATCTTTGGCTCAGGTCATGATCTCACAGTTCGTGAGTTCGAATCCTACATCAGGCTCTGTGCTGACAGCTCAGATCATGGAGCCCGCTACAGATTCTGTGTCAAACCTCTCTCTCCCCCTCCCCCACTTGCATTCTCTCTCTCTCTCTCTCTCTCTCTCTCTCAAAAATAAATGCTGAAATATCAAAATATATTTTTTTTAAAGTATACAGT